GGAATTTGATAGGTGCTTTATATTTGGTTATTATTTTGCTTTTAAATTGCTCCTTAATCATTGGTTTTTGTGGCTTATGTGTTTATTTTGATTCATTTTCTGTGCAGGATACTAGATTCTGGAAATTGCACTAAAAGGACAGAATTATGCAGTTTTTTTCGGAATCAAGGCTGAATTAGTGGGCATGACTCCGGGCATGACGCATCTGACGAGGCAATGAGTCAACACCTTCTAAAAGGTCCATTCAGTGCTTCTAAAAGGACGAAGGGATCAACCGCATGTTTCTGCAATTCGAATTTAAGTTAAACTCATGTTTTTAGGATATTAGTTTAAATATTATATTTAATATTATCTTTGTTTTTAGTATTTTAGCTTAAATAGTTTAAGTATTTTCATTAGGAATTATCTCTTTATTTTATGAATAATATTTTCCCTATTTTTAGGATTTTAAAGGCTATAAATACCCTCTCAAGGTAAGCCCAGAAACACATTCAGAATTTATTCTTATTTTTTGCTCTAGTTTTATAAAAGTTTTTATTTTTATTTTTCAAAGTTCTTCTTTGTTTTATTTTTGTTTTTGTTTTCAAAGATGCTAAGTATGATTGACATAGTTAATTTTTCCATAGTCAATGGCTAAAGCGATGACTCAATCCCTATTGTGAGGATTGAAAAGTACTAAAAATAACTTCGAGTTATTTTCTCAATTTTTTGGAGGAAAAAGATTGGTAATCGACCTACATTTTTAAAATCAAAATGCTTTTTAATCAAAGAGTTGACGTTGGTTCAGAAGTTGTTCTGATTTATAGTTGGGAGAAAGAATCGGCTGGTAGCAAGTTCGACTTCCTGTGAACACACTTAGCAGATATCCGCTAAGGGAAATTGAGATCTGACTCGATTCTCATTGAGGTAACATAGTCTGTGTCGAGTTTTCCATATCTATAAAACAATTTGGCGCTAATGACGACAGTCGTAGCTAGTCTCCGTAAAGGACTGATATCCAAAAATAGATATTGGGTTATCGGTTCACAAGATAGAAAAACAAGTTACAGTGGTTAGGCCTTGTAGACTTTAACCGACGAATAACCAAAGCAAATTATTCCAAGAATCAATAGGAATTTGAGGCAAAAGCTGAAGCCAGAGGCTAATTTCACTATAAGTTTCACTTTCTCTCAATCACTTTAAATTATTTAATTTAATTTAATTTTTATCTTTTATGTTAAATACAACTTTTAAACCCCCTATTTAATCTCACCCAAAACTCTACCTTATCTCATCATTTTCTAAATCAGAAAGTTCACTTCATCAGAAACACCGAGTCCCTGTGGACCGACCCTGCATCCCTACTCTACTCTCTCTATTTCGTAATTTATTTATTATTAAGAATTCGAAATTATTTTGACAATAAAACGACACCTGTCACACGTGGAATATCAAAAATTTTATACATAAAATAATTTTGAATTCAACTCTTTTTAAATAGTCCGGGATGGTCACAAATTAATATTTATTCATAGTCTTTCTTATCATTGACAATGCTCATGTAATCTACAAATGCAATTGCTTGAACCAGTGATTTTAAAGGAGAACAACACTCCATTTAATCACCAATATCACTCAACAATTTTTTTTAATTTTTAGAATAACTCTTACTATGAAATAATAATTTTTTAGCTTTTCAAAATAATAATAAATAATTTTTAGTTAATTTATTTAAAGATTATATAAAAATAAAAAAATATTAAATTCACATTAAAAATGTAATATTATAGCGTATATATCGTCTAACATTTGACTTAAATTAAGGGGATATGAATATAAAGTGAGGTGGCCATAATTTTAGTGGTTTCCACATCATAATATTGGTTAAATTCTTCATTTTTGTATTAAGGATAATCTTTGGCTATCCTCACCCAACTTCAAAGGCAATATTTTGATCTAAATTTTATCTTTTCACATTCTGGAAATTAAGAATTTAATTAATCTATTTTAATTATTGCAATTTTATTTTAAAATTTTATAAATATGAAGAATTAATTCATTATTTGAAAATAGGTGAACTTGAATTGTTGTGTTTTTAATTAGTTTTATATAAATTATTGAATCATTAATTTTATAAATTATAAATATTAAATAATATGAATTAAAGTAAAAAATAGAAACATTTCAGCTTTAATAAAGTAAAGAAGTTTCTTTCACGACATCTAAATAGTGCATTCCCATACTCCACTCTTTTCTTAGTTTTGTCCTATTCTCCTTTCTCACAAACATAATTGTCTAATGGCATATGATAACTTTTTGTGCTTATCCTCTTTTTTTTTTCTTTTGTGATAAAGAAATTAAAATAAACTCGAGCCAAAGCCTCTAGCCCTAAGACATTACAATCTGACCGTAAATACAAAATAATCTCTTAAAGTGGGTCAAAATACATATAATTTGCAATTTCTTCAATCTCAACCATGTTAATTAACTCATCGACAATTTTATTAGTGTCTCAGAAAGTATGGAGAAATTTCACATTTCAATCTCTTCTCAATGATTCAAAAAGATGATCTAAGAGGGAGAATGAAATGTCCACTTCTCTTTTGAAAGTTCCGAATAACCTCAAGACTATCCACTTCAACTATAACTCATCTCTCACCTAGATTCCAAACATGGAGCATACCTTCATAGACTCCCCAAAGTTACACTTTGATAACTGAACAAATGCTAATTGTTTTCGAAAAATGAAGAAACTTGAAACACCTTAATCAGTTCGACACGAAGACCAAAGGATTAAAGTGTCACACGAGACCATCGATGTGGTTAACCCAAAAATTTTCTTTAAAATCAACGGTGACACATCAAATAAAAGAACTATCCATAATGTTATAAAATAGAATGTAATAATTCAGAGTTTAGAAATATGGGGAGCTCCCAAATACATCCAACATAATAATACCGAGTTTAAAACAAAACAGAGTTAAAACTGAATACAGAGGTGTATGAATAGTACATGCCCTCTAATATAAATCAAGACGTACTCAAAGACCTCAGTTGATCTGGAATATCTAATGACGATAACGTTCCTTGATAATCACCTAAGAACCTACGCACGGAAACACATTCTGAATGACGAGCTTAGTGTCACACTAACAAATGTACTGTACTGCATGCATTCACTAAATGAGCATACTAGTGGCACAAACAAGAAACGTAAGGATACTAACATGAAATGTTAAGGTAGGCATCATGGTGTGGCCAAGGGTTCTGCATCTCGGGGCTCACACCCCTCTAGCCTACCTAAGATACCCTTGGTATTCAGGGTAAGATTCAGAACTGTATCGGAAACGTACACCCGACCAACTTACTCCTTCGAGTCTTGGGGTATCTGCGCCCAGCTGGCAACTGAAGTACCTTGGCATTGACTGAAATATATCCAAACAAGATGATCATCATATGCTAAAGTAACTCGGGTGTCCTGCCCATTTCCTGAGTATTAAACAAGATTAGTTTTATGATGTTCTAACTATTATTGTTTCTAGTTGTGTTGTGTTTATTAATGTTCTCACTTGTAGTTTTATTTGATGGCATTCTGGTAATATTTGGCCCTTAAGTTCAACCTTTAACCATTTAGATTCTTTTGAATATATATTTTGATATGAAAAAAAAGAGCAAAATGTTTTTGGACTAAATTGAATTTGCTCAAATAAGAAAAAATAATTCAAACTTCAAATTAATTTGAAAATTGTGTACTAGATGTTTTCTAAACTTTGTCAAACTTTTAAACATTGTTCTAAAGATCAAAACTCTTGAAATTTGCCAAATATCCTAGCCAGTCTCGAGACCATAATTCCATAAGGCTTTTCTGGTATCGGTACCATGGTGTTGGTATCGATTATGGAAGGTAAATATCGATACTCCTTCAAAAAGTATCGATATCGAGGCCTCAAAGCCTATATTTGTTTAATTTTTTATGCTCGGTCTCGATGCCAACTTCCTACTATCGATACCAAAGTTGCAAGAGAGCATTTAATGCTCAAAATTAAGGATTCTAACGGCTTTAAAACATCCCAAACGGTTAGAAACAGTGACAAACTCATTCCAATATATAAAAGAAAGTCGATGAAACTTGAAGAATGTTACAACACCTATCCAAGCAATCCATATCAAGAGAAAAGCTCTTTCAATCTTATTTTTTCCTTTTCTCTTGTACATAGAGTGTTTTAGTGAGCTAAATTGTGTAAACACCTTCCTTTGAGAGGTTTATTGTTTACAATATTTTATCCTTATTGAAAAGGATTTTTTGTTCTATTTTAGCCATTATAAAAGGTAGAGAATTTGTAAAGGTTACTCTTGAGCCTAGAAAAAGAAAGAACAAATTAGTGAATTTGTTAGAAATCCTTAGTGAGGAGATAAGGTAGTGGATGTAGACTTCATTGAGGAAGTTAAACAACTATAAATCATTGAGAAAAATTTCCTATAATTTCTCCTAAATTCCCAAAATTTTAAAAAGGCCAATTCACCCCCTCTTGGAAACAATTTCGGTTGATCAATTGAGCTTCAAAAATCCCAATAATTGGTATCAGAGCGGGTCATAAATCGATGGTTTAACAACCTTGTAAAGATCCTTAAAGCTCTCTATCAATTCCCGATATAATCAAGAATATGACTTCAACATCCGACGCATACTACCTTGAAGACTCACACTCCATTCATAGCCACTGACTTTGCGGTTTGGGATGTCATCGTCGATGGTTCTTTTGTTCCTCCAAGAAATCGAAAGGATTGGATCAATAAAGACAAAAAGCTTGCCCAACTAAATGCCAAAGCCATGCACATATTCTTTTGTGCTCTTGGCCCGAACAAATATAGTAGAATATCTTCATGCTCTAATGCTAAGGAGATTTAGGATAATTTGGATGTGACTCATGAAGGAAAAAGCCAAGTGAAGAAGTCAAAGATTGGCATTCTCTCTCAACTATAAGAACTTCAAGATAAAGCCTAATGAAGACATTAAGATGATGTCTGATCGGTTCACTTCAATCATAAATGAGTTAAAGAACTTTGAGAAGGCTTATTCTAATGAAGAAGTAGTGAGAATGATGTTTGCCTCATTGCTTACATCATGGGAAGGCAAAGCAATTGCCATTAAAGAAACCAAGGAGTTGGAGTTGTACACCATTGGTGAACTAATCAGTTCTTTACTCATTAATGAGGTGAAAATCCAAAAAGAAGAATAAAGAAGAAAAATAGAAGAACAAGAAAAAGAAGGAGTTGAGAATCTCTTTCAAATCCACCAATTAGAGTAGTCAAGACTCAAGTGAAGAGGTGGATGAAGATGAAGAAATGGCCAAGCTCTTCAAAAGATTCACAAAATTCATGTCTTCTAAAGGAAAATAAATGAAGTATGAATCGATCAAGAAGAATTATCCCCCAGTGTACTTTGAGTGCCTAAGAACGGGACATGTAAAATATGAATTTCCTCTACTAAAGAAGAAGGGATCAAGCAAAAAGAAGGTATTTGTGGCGGCTTGGAGTGATGAAGACAACTCTGATGATGAAGTAGCCAACTTATGTCTCATGGCCATCGAAGAAGATTCAAGGGTAACTTCTAACTCTTGTGATTTAAATTTTTATGCATTTAAAGAATTACAAGATGTCTATGATGAATTGCATTTGGAATTTGAGACCATGAATTCCAAATATAAGAAATTAATTTCAAAATTTAAAGTTGAAAATGATTTTCTTTTGAAAGCAAAAATAGATTTTGAAAAAAAAATGAAATTTTGAAAAATGATTTTGAGATTTCAAAATTCAAAATTAATGATTTAGAAAAAGAAAATCTTGATTTAAAAGTTAAGCTTGAATGCTTAACAAAAGAAAAAGAAATAATTTTTCAAAACAATTAATCATGTTTAAAAATGAGAAAATGCCCACATTGCAATTTTCATGGTCACTTGGAATATACTTGTCATTTAAAACTTAAAAAACATTTTAAAATTAGACAAATATGAGTTTCTAAGGGAACAAAAGACTTTTGCACTAACATTCAAGGATCCAAAGTAATTTGGATACCCAAAGCTATATAAATGTCTCTTGTAGGTGTGTGGGACCAATGGTGTCACAAGTAAAGAAATTCAAATGTTCTATCCACAAAATGTGGAATGGGTAACCTCTAAGCTTAATTTTTTTTTTCTATATATTGGTTGTCTATTTTGTTTTATGCATGCATGAGTTTTGAGCACAAATGATTATATGTCGTTTTTCATCTCATGCATGTTAAAATGTGTTATGGTGAACATTTTAAAGTTTCAATGATTTTTATCAAATTTTAGTTCATCATAATGTTTTTGGTCAAATTTGCTTTTAATGTTTTGTTTTTTACAAAATTTTATTTTTTACCTTAAATTTAAATGTTTATGCATGTGGTTTTATTACAAATGATGTCTCTCTAACAATTGATATAAATATTTCAAATGCATAACATTTTTGGATAGTTTTATGCATATGAACTTTCATCTCTAATTTTAATATTGCATAAAGTAGTATAGACTTGGTTTTATTGAATTTCATGTGTTACTAACATGTTTGCTCATCTTTGTTGAAATGCATTAGTTTTTAAGTGTCAAGCTTTTAAAGTCAATTTTTTTGGAATGTATTTGTTGAGAAGGAGCTTTTAATTTTTCAAATAGTTTTTTATATTAAAATTTTATTTACTCTACATTGTTATTTTTTAACCTAAATGTTTGAATTTTTTTTTATATAACAAAAAGGGGAGAAGTATTGGTTTGAAAATTTCAATTTTAAGAATAAAATATGTGGCGCTTAAATATTTTTCATATTAATTCTTCTATTCAACCCTTGTTTTAATAAAGGGGAATTTTTGTCAAAATCTATTTTTCAAAGATTTTGTTATATCAAAAAGGAGAAGATTAGTGAACCTATATTTTGATATAAAAAATAAGAGTAAAATATTTTTGGACTAAATTGAATATTTGAAAAATATGTACTAAATGTTTTCTAAATTTTGTCAAACTTTTAAACATTGTTCTAAAGCTCAAAACTCTTGAAATTTGCCAAAAACCCTAGCCAGTCTCGAGACTAGAATTCAAGAAGGCTTTTCTAGTACCGGTACCATGGTGTTGGTATCGATACTGGAAGGTGATTATCGATACTCCTCAAACAGTATCGATACCGAGGCCTCAACGGCTATATTTTTTTAATGTTTTTCATGCTCGGTCTCGATACCAACTTCATGGTATCAATACCAAAGTTGCAGGTGAGCATTTAATGCTCAAAATTAAAACAATCCACGTCACCATTGTCCTCCTCCTCCTCCTCATCCTCGTCAACTATCACCAGAGCCGATTCCTTGTCTTTCTTAGGTAGGGAGGAGGTAAATTTTTACAACACCGGAGGTTCGGTTTTCGAAGACGATAAAGGGTACTCCATGGATGAAATCTGGAAAGACATTGATCTGTCTGAAGAAAAGACGATGCAATTACCCTTGTTTGAAAACAAGAGTGCTCAAGAATATTGTAATGTTTCATGTCCTTCAATGGCCTCTCCTCCATGGGATTTCTGCTGGGATTACTCCCTTTGGAAGATGGATGAAGAAGAGAGTAATGTGTTTGTTCCAGCTAATCAAATTCAATTCATTTGTTCATAAAACTCTAACCTGTAAAAAAGATTGGGTTTCCTCTTAAGTTGTAGTGCGTCTACCAGTGTTTTGTATGTGTGGTTTTAGTCCTCTCAGAGAATCCTTCATCCAAATTTCCATCGAGGAGACTTTACAATTTTCTTGGATGTATGCATAATATTCCTTTTAATTTTAAATTTCCAACTTCATGCTCGGATTTGAATCTCAAAACATGTAAAATGTAATATCTTAAACGATGTTGCATGAGTTAATTTTGTATGTTATTCTTCAAGGATCGACTTATCTACAACTAACGAAGTCCTAAACTATAATTATACTCAAAGATGAAATGAGTTTGATTTTAGATTATGTTGATACAGGTTGAGTTAATTGTAATTTTAAAATTTACATATTAAATTTAAAATTTGAATTTATAAAATTTCATTATTGAATTCAAATGGAAAGTGACCTATCAAATTATGCTAAAGTGACCCATGTTGGAGTAGAAAACTAAAAAAGGTTGGATTGGTGAGCATAGTTTTAGTGAAGGAGAGGCCATTGGTAAAGCTTGAATCACATAGTTTTAGTGAGCATTGATTCAGTAGAAGAAAAAAGGGGCAACAATCAGTGATAGTGAATTAAATGGGGCAGAGTATGGTCTCTAAAAAGCAAGCATCAACTTGTAGGCTACTTCCACCAACGTGAAGGGCTTATGCTTTATGATTTGTGGTCCTCCTCTTGAACCCTATGCTATATTTCTCATTTTTTAATATATATGGAGATAGACATATGGTATACTTATATTAAACATATTATTTAAATTCAAATAATATATTTAAAAAAATAAAATCTGAGCTCAATACATAAAAAATTAATGATTTAACACTAAAATTTATAAATTATATGCAACTTTGTTTGGGTATTACAAACTCATTTCTTAGTTGAATGAAAAGGTTGAAATAGGTAGAAGATAAGAAAGTAATATGAACGGCCAGTATGATTTGAACAAGTAGAACAATGACAGGCAATTTAAATTTTTAATGACCCAATCATACACCAAACATTGATTCCAAAGTGGAATAAATTCATTAAATGTCATCCCAAGGATTGAGGATACTTTTCAAAAAGATTCTACTTAACTTTTTAGCTTCAGACTGAAATTCTATGTTCCATGTTTGCTTCCTTGCTCTATGTTCTGTTGTGATTTATTTCGATGCGGTATATTTTGGTCTCTCTCCAAAAAATAACAATAAAAAGCTAAATTGGGTAGGTTAAAATCCATTTCGGACACATGTACTAACATTGTAAAAAATCTACTGCTGTTAATAATTGTTGTTTAGTACCATCAACCAGTTTATCTAGTGAGTTAAAGCATTAGATCCTTTAAGCAAAATCAAGGGTTCAAATCCCGGAGATTGCGAATGGAGTGAATTGAGTTGGAAGAGTCGTCCTTACCTATACAGTACCTGATCCGAATTAGTCGATCAATAGATTGGATACTGATAGTTATAAAAAAAATAATTGTTGCTTAGTGTCTTAAGTGGACATTAGACGTTAGAGATCATTGGACTTCTCGTGTTCTTCCACTTTGTCTTAAAAAAAATAAATTATTTAAAAAAAATCTCTAAGTTTTTTCGATCCGATTACTGTTAGAAATTTACATGTACTTCTCTCTAAAAATTTTAAAAAAATAATTAAGTATTTACACTACTGTATAGTACTAATTAAATGGATATAATCATGGGATGATTAATGTTACCTTATCACATAGTTTGCACATGGATTGCTTGTGCAGGTAACCACGGCTAGTCCAAATGAGAATGCAGAATTCATGTATTGGACATGTTAGAACAAAATCATAATAAATATGAAAATAAAACTTAAGATCTAATCATGTCAAGTCGTCAAGAATAAACTCTACATGCACTCACTTAACCATATTACCATAGAATTCGTACACAACACTTACTCTAATAGCTGAAAACCATGGTTGACTTAAGGTTGACCTACCCACTGTACTATCATCTTCTTGAACTTGAACTAGAAGGAAAGACTTTAGCATTTGATAACAGGTGTTCGCTATACTCATTTGCATGTGTTAGCGTTATAGTTTTCATGTTTCGATGGTGACAAGTTCCTACTTAGATTTCTAGGCCATATATACCGATATACGAAATGTTCTCTTCAAATATTCGAAGTTAGACCTCCATTGTCTATAACATGATCGAGATGTTATAGTTTTTTTTAAGGTTGTGTGGAGTTATATTCCAATGGCATGATGAATGATTACAGACTTAATACAATATGGTTCATCATAATAAAACCACTACATATTGGGATTCAATAAAGCCCATTGTGCAAGCGTGTGTGCGACACGGTTTGCTTCTCTATTGACATAGAACACTTTGAGATCTTTGTTTTCATTAACTAGTGATCGGGCTTCGTTGAGTAGCAATCAGATGGTTGAGATATCTTGTTTCTAATTGACAAGTCTGTTGATAATGTTTATCGTGTCTCCTTCTATGGTTGCATTTGTCCATCCATTTTCTAAGGAAAACTTTATCCCTTGGGTGATCACTGCGACTTCGGCTGACTCCACTATGAAGGGGATCAATTTGTTTGCACATACCACCTAAGACCATACCATTGTGATCTCTAGCCACTACACCGATAGAAACGATGTTTGCAGTTGGTGAAAAAGCCTCATCAATATTTATCTTAATCGTGTTTTCAAGTGGCCTTTTCTATTTACGGTAGAACTGTTGCCTTTGTAGCAGGGGGAGATCTTCCATCGATATTTGCCTCTGATAGCTTTTCGCACAAACTCCAGGCTTCCATCACCATATCTTTGTCCTCTTGAAGATCTTTTTCATAGACCCGTTTATTTCTCTGATTCCATATGTTCCATAGGAGAATCAGAAGTTTGAAAAACCCCTCAGTGTACATCTTAGAAGTTATCCATTCCATCCACTATTTGCACGAGATCCCCTGCCAATTGGTAATTGCCTTGTTCAGCCCAGATATTCGCATAACTCTCTTCGATTTGGTGCATTCCTTAAGGGCATGCATTAAGGACTCGGTCTCCTCACTACACATAGGGCATATTCCATCAGAGATGTTAGCTTGTTTCAACTTTTCCCGTATAGGCATAGCATTATGGCAAATTGTAACACCCCAATTTAGGGGCTAAAATTTTAGAAATTAGAAGTGATGAATTTAATTGGTATATTTGGAAGAAATTGAGGATTAAATTGTAAAATTTCAAAGTTGGTAGACTATTTTAGGAAGTGCATGAGATTCAGTGATTAAACTTATAGTTTAACCATTTTTATTTTGGAGAGAATTATCCCCATTTCCTGTATGTTTCAGCAAAATTATCTCTCATTTCCCTCCCCGTTGACCCTCCTTTCCACTCTGATCTACTCACCGTCCGACCACCGTTTGACAAACCGAAACCACCATCGTGTTCGTTATCGACCGAAGAACAAAACCCCTCAAACCTCTCATCGTGAATCTGTGTCGTTTGTCGTAAATTTCAACCGGAAGTATCGTCGGTTTTAACTCAATCTCCATTGGCTTTTCGTCGATTCAGATCGATCCGGCCACTCGTTTTCGACACCTCCCGCACTATCGTGTTCCTTTCATCGTTCCGAGTCCACCGGTGTCCTCCATGTCTCCGTAGCCGCGTGGAGGGGTGAAGAAGTCAAAGTTTTTGATATTTCGGAATCGAGCTCTCATCCGTTCAAAATTTTGAACCGAGCTTGGTAAGTTTCTCAAAATGCTTTAAAATAATTTTTAGAAATTTTTCGAACATCGTAACACTATTCATGCACCACCCCTTAGAGTGGGCTTCATCTGGCAGCAGAAAAAAAGAAAGAAAGAAAACTGGTTTAACCAGTCCGACCCGACCCATTGACCTGTTTACCAGCGTTGATCATTGACCGCGTTGAATATTGACCGGCGTTGACCACTGATGACCAGAACTTTGACCGGCATTGACCAGCCCTTAAACGACCGTTGACATTTTTCGGGTATACCTACCCTAACGTTTTTTGACGTCCTAAATTGTTTTTTGGGGTCTGTTTCTCCAAATTCAAACCCGATAAACTATTTTTCACTGATTTATCACCTGCTGCGATCCGTTTTTTGGAATTAAGTTCCGTTTTTTATGAAATTTATATTGTTATATATTTAAGGAATTATTGGAAGTTGAATTAAGGATCGAGGGCGTTCGAATAGAATTTAATGGTCGATCAGTATTGCACGGAAATCGAAGTAATACATTACTATCTTTTCATGCTTTATGGAATATGTTTGTATTGGTAAATGCATGAATGAATATGTTTGGTCACATTTGGGTTTTTAATTAATTCATAGACTCGATATGATTGCGATAGAAATTCGGTAACTGAATACGACTCGAATGACTAATATAAGAAAGTAAGGGATTGTTAGAATTAAAATTACAAGTTCTATGATTAGTGATAAAGGAATCAGCCCTGGATATGTAACTTATATTTTATATCAACAAGGGTTAAATGTTAAAGGTACTTGGACGAGAAATTATGAGAATACACCAGTTTGTTAAAATTACAAAAATACCCTTATATTGTAAAATGATAAGAATTTCCCTGGTAGTTGGTTAATAACTCTGAAAAGATATATTGAGCTGATGAAACTACTGATGGGTATGGAAAATGATAGTTTTGCTTAGAAAATTTGGATAACCGATTTTTAACTCCAAGAGGGTTTGTGCACGATATTAGAAGTATGTTAAGGAATCTTTTCAAGATTAGGGAATGTTTGGGAAAATAATTAATCATAGGATCTCTAAATTATAATTATTTTCCTTAATAGTTAATACCAAAATTATCTGGTTAAGAAATTACGAAAATGCTCTTAAGAGGTAAAAATAGTCTGAGTTGACCCTGAATGAGAAAGTACTTTAAGGATTCGTGCGTAACTCGATAAATTACGGACTTAATTGTTAAGATCAATCTTTGTACAAAAAAATTCCTGATAACCTGTTT